CTAAGACCGAAAAAATACCAACATACATGAGATCATGGCCGTACTAAGCGTACTAACGTACTAAGACCGAAAAAATACCAACATACATGAGATCATGGCCGTACTAAGCGTACTAACGTACTAAGACCGAATAAAATACCAACATACACGAGAACATGGCCGTACTAAGCGTACTAACGTACTAAGACCGAATAAAATACAGACACGCATAGAACAAGGCCGTACTAACCGTACTAGCGTACTAAGACTACCAACATACATGAGAACATGACCGTACTAAGGCCGAATAAGATGCCCAACATTTGGACAACTATTAGCGTATCAATAACTTTTTCAAGGCTGAAAAATGCAGAGGTACGTCGCGTACATGACCGCGTTAACAATACATGCGCAGCGCACATGAGGTCAATAGCTTTTCATTCCCATGTTTAAATCATAAGTGCACATACCCTGACTTTCGTGGACGTGCTGTCGCTGATGCAGAAATAGCAGCTAGGGATTTATCTCAAGGTTTCGGGAACAGTTATTCATTAATTTATCAACTCAGCTAAATACTATGGAACTGAAACTGACTACCCAATTGCGAACTTTACTGTTACTGCCGGCTTTAAAAGAGTGTGTGTTCGTTTCGTCTTTGGTCTCTTCTATCCATTCTTAGTACAGGGAAAGATATTGTCTACTTTTTTGGTCATCATCGTCGTCGTTTTCGATTGTTGTGTCGTTAATAGAATGAAAATTCGATGGCGTATTTTACGACAGGAAACACGCCTTTCTCCGGATTTATATAGGATGATAGACATGATACACTGATGATAGGCGGCAATAAAATGTCACAAAATTTGGGTTTTTAAATGAGAAATCTTAGCAGTCAACCCACTCAACAACAACAAAAAGACGTTTATAACAATGGCTTTATTATGTGGCCCATATACAGAGTATGTGTTAAATAGGCTTTCACTTTTGGCAAAACAGGCATCTTTTCCTTAAAACTGATAGCACAATTCAGTGTAACGATTGACAGAACGATATAGGAAAAAAATTGATGTAACCTTGTCATGGAACATAGTGTCTTCTTCAAATGGCTTGCCCAAACAAAAAACTTTTTTTCGGCTCTCTAGCTCTCTCTAGTGTTGAACTATCAAGGAATCTTATCATTACATCTTGAATACTTATTCTTTTTGGGACGCAAGCGATCAATGACCTTGCCAATATTACTCCATGCTTTATTAAGCTGTAAATGGTATTTCCTTCTTTGAGATCCTTAGACTGTCCAGGTGAAACATATTGTCATAAGCCAAAGTTACTGAGCTCACTACCTTAGTTAGTTACATCAGCTGACGATTTTCCGATGTCCTGAAGGGCCTTGAACTTGCGATACAACCATATGACTAGGATAAGGTAAGCTTAAGCAAACCACGGTAGGAACGTCACAAGCAGCAGGTACCGTGAACAAGAACAATTTCCCTGTACTTGCATCACACTTTTTGAAACAATTCTTGGTCGTCTATTGTACTGCAATGTGTGCAAAATTTTATAACTTTTGATATGAACTGCTTAGGTCAATCCAATAACGTTTGCCTCTATTTTAAAAAATTAAACGACACGAGTTATAAGCACAAAGCTAGATATAATGCCAATCATCTTTTAACATCGCTTTTTCGCTGGTGTCGTCGTTGTGGATGCTCAAGCTTCCTAAACTTTATGTTCACTGCTCCTCCCTACACGAGAAGCACCGAAACGTACTATCATAATCGGACATGCGCATGCCAATGCATTTAGTGTGCTGCCATTGACTGCAGCTGTTGCACTTTACCATCCCCGATTGCTTCGTAGATGTGCACAGGTTACAAAGAGTGCTTCCGCGTCTTTTAAATGCAAGCTTCCTCTTAGTACCTCTACCTGCTAGTCAAAGAGAAGGGGCAAAAAGTTTTTAAAATCCATAAAGTAATTTGCATTTTTTAAGCTGTGTTGTTGTATGCACTGGAACACGGAAATTTAAATATTAAATGTTATGCTGGCCGCTAAGGTTATAAATCGCCTTCTTAGTTAGTGTACCAAATTTATTCTGTTCCAGAAAAAAACGTTACTGGCATATGAAATGTGGGCTTCGAGTTCCATAATGAACACTCTTAAAAATCAAAGTGTAGAGAAAAGATAGGGAATTACTAAATTCTTTGCCAATGACTCAACAGAGGCCGTACTTTCCTCGAAGTTGTACATGTTAAATCAAGTGATAACATTGTATCAACTCACACACTCATTGATTTCACCATACAAAAAAACCACAGAGAACCTTTCTAAGTTACATAACGATGAAGTAGTATGTGTAATACCTGAGCTTGATGAATCCCCCAGTGTCGATGATGGCGTAGGCTCAAAGACCGGACTTGAGGGAGCAGTGGAAATTAAGCTTAACGATGGTGTGACTACAACGGGAAAAAAAGACGTGAACGTTATTGTATGCCCAAAGAAATACATCCGTGCGCATGCGGTTAATCACTTTAAACAAGCTGGAAACAGTGGTGCTCCTTGTTTTATAACCAATCGTATCGAATTTTTATAAGAAAGGAACGTTTCTCATTTTGTTACTACATGGTGCATTTAGTGCACGGGTATTTTCGAGTGTGGTCATTACCAGAAGTTAAAAAAAATCACCATGGAATTGTGGATACAATAGGGAGTAATGGGACGGACATGGAATCGCCCAGTCTTGACCTTGGGATATGTGAATTTCATTAAAGTTAATTTTTGGACAGTTAAACGCATGAAATTAATGGGAAGTTTGTTTCCGGAAAGATGCGAAAACTTTTATTAAGAGCCTGTTTGCATGGAGGTGGGGAACCACAGGTTGGTGAGGTAACCCGCCTGTCCATATAATCTCTCATTTTACTTTGATCACCTTTACATGACAGGTGGGGTGAACCGTCGCGGATTACCTCACTTATCTGGGGTCCCCCACCTCAGTGTAAACAGGTCAGAGAATTGAATAGTCGTCATTTACATGTTCTGAATTTTTTGCTTTGAGGCAGTCCTACGTGGAAGTGATGACGTTTTAAACAATCGAATAATATGTGTGGACGTCTCAGGAATTAGACTTAAACCGTGCAATTACAAACTGCATAAATAACTTAGTGAAATATTCACATATCCCGGCCAACACCCTAAGATTCCCTATATGTCCCACTGTGGTTCTTGAATATATTTTCTTTATTTACCTGACCCCTCTTGATGTCCTCTAGCCGGCTGTTCTGAAAATCAAAGGATGTTAAGTTGTAAGAAAATAATTCATTCGTTTTGTTCTTAATATGAGGATATCTATAGACCTTTTTTTTTTATTGAATACTACTTAACCAGGGTTGGCATTTTGGTAATGTCCAAATCAGTAGGTTTTTTAGAGTAGTAGAACTTGAACCAAAAGGCGATGAGAAACCTTCCTCTTAGAATGTCAAGAGTTTCGGTTGTTTGAAATTTTTAAAAAGCATGTAATACATTACTTTTTCATTATCGTTGCATCTCCTATTGTACAGGAAGACCATCTACTAAGGCTCAAATAGGTATAAGAAGATGTATAGTAATGCATTTTACTGTTGTAAATAATAATAATCACTATTATTATAAATTGATGAATTAATAGATTAATATTGTACAACATTACCTCATTAATCTATTAATTTATTAATTTATAACATTAATCTTACAAGACTACTGTCCGATTTTTTTAACCTGCGTACGACTTTAGATCCTTTTTAGTCTCCTGGTCGGCAGCTTTGCAAATTGCTTGGGATAAAAGAAAGTTTAAAAATCTGAAAAGAGTTCAATTCTTACAGGATTGTGTTGTACACAAATATGGCCACTGTGACGTCATGTGAAAACGATCTGTTTGTGGCTTTAACGTCCAGTTACAACCGGTAGGATCCACAATAAGGATCTTGGCATTGCTTCGCAGACGGTTCTTACCGGGATTAGATTACGTTTGCGCTAAAACTATCATTAAATTTGACAACAGAAGTAAATAACATACCTCTTATTATTCTGCCCAGACTTTGAGCAACAGCTGGTGCATTAAGACTTAGGTCATCCGACCTGTCAATTATCCCTTGAAGTTCGTCGATCTTTCTTTTAGAGTCTTCTAGCTCTTTCTATAGCTTTCTGCATTTTTCTCCCTCTTCTTCAATCGTCTTCTCCAATGCCAAAACAACTTTCTCGTGTGTGGCACTGTTGAAGGCTAGTTCCTCTTTAAACTGCATTTGTAACTTTTCGCAGTTGCTACAAACAGTGGACGAGGACGATGTCCCCTCTCCTCCATCATTATCTTCTTCGTGGTCTTCACTATCTACTTCGGGGTCGAGCATCATTGCGTCCTGTCTGTTAAACCCTATAAAATTTAATAAATAAAATAAACAAAACAATATTGTTATTTTGGAAAATTCAAAAGGGCCGTACAAAGTTTATAAGACAAAGTACATTTGGTGGTACATGTCGAACAAAACTGAAGTTTTATTGCCAGATAATATCGACATTTTATGTTTCATCACTAAAAGAAGGTTGGAATATTATACTCTGCTTGCCACGAGATCGGATTGAACTTACAGCTATCAATGGTTTTAAGCTGTTCTTTGTCCACAGCTTGTCGAGAGATCTTGATTGACAGTTCCCTATGGCCATTTCCGAAGTCACTTCGAAAGTCGACGCTTGCACCGTCTACTTTTCGGCATGCTTGTGAAAAGTTAGTGTGAGAATAAGGTGTGCCTGCCTTCACTAGCAGGTCGCCCAAGTCTGCCTTGCGCATGTGGATAGCAGCACCTGTTGTTAAGCCCCTTACTTTCACGCAAGGTTTAAGCCATTCGCAGACCTGAAAAGGGAAAATGAAGAGTAAATAAAAGAATAAAAGAGCATTAAAGAAATAAACTCTTTTTTTTTCCTTTATACTAAGAATTTTATTATATTTTTGGAAGAATTTTTTCTCTTGTTTAAACTATCGTTATCCATAAGTGATATGTAATGATTTAATGGGGTTGCATGACTTGTAAAATGAGATTGCAAAATGAACTTTTGTTGGAAATCGCTTAAACTTGAATGTAATGGAACAGGCGCGGCCAGGGTTTTGGAAATTCAGCGCAGTACGTTATTATAATATCTCGTTTCCCTAAATTGTTGGTGCTTTTTCATTTTGTCATGAAACCACTTATATTTTGTTTGAAGTTATACAGCTTTAACAGGAACTATGAGTCACTGTGGCATGTCCCGTCGGTTTCCCTACTAACCCGATGGGTTCCACTGTATCTGATTGGTATCTGGAAAAAGTCAGATATAATGTTATCCCACCAACACACCCCCGCCCCCTTTTTGGGCACGAAAGTGGAAATAACTTTGGCAAAAGGCGCGTGAAAACAATAATTTCCCAATTTCACCAGTCACCTTTCGATTACATATGCTTTTTGGAGTTCGTGTCTTAACTCTCCTTTGTCTACCAATAGACCAGCTAGGAATTAGAGAAATACCTCGTCTCTGCTTTTAGTTTTCTCCACAGCGGTAATGAAATCAGCGATTAACTGGTTAACAGTAGCATGAACTTCATTTGTTCGTTCGTACTGACTAATCACGTAAGGTATCAGTTGACTTTTTAGGTGGTTGTCTACGTCAACTTCTGAGATAACCGTATCATCTGCCACCTCTCTGACAATCTGTAGAGTGTAGATGTGATAAAAAAATCACGGCTTGTATTTGGATACTAAGTAGCAACAGAACGAGCAGTACTTATCTTAACATGACAAAACTGATTTGCAACAATTATTTTGCGCAAGAGAGGATAAAGCTTTATCCTCTCTTGTTTTGCGTTAATTTAAGTCGGCGTTAATTCTTGTTACCTTAATTTTCATTCTTTTTGTTCCAAATTCAACTTTCTCGATACACTTTGAATTTCTTGACATCTATATTTGAAAGAATGGCTTTTTTTTCAGAGTGGACACCCAGACTTGCTAGTATCAGTGCTGTAAATAACCCGAGAACTGGCTTAACCCCTTCGTATTTTTAATGGAAAGTAACAAGTAAACTATTATGTTCATTTTGAAATGTTAACCACAACTCGTCACAGTCGTTGTCTGTTAAATTCGCGTTAATTTAAGTCGCCTTAATCTCCAATACCTTAATTTCATGAAGCGTTAATTTCCTACAAAAAGGTGTATTCGGGAATAATATACTCACCTCACAGGCGAAGTATCTGTAGCAGCTATAGATGCTGGGAAGGCGACCAGGAAGGCCTACCAGTTTTTCTTTAAAAAAGGTGACGTGATCCTGGAGGCTGCCTTGTGTCAGTCCGAGGCCCATCCTGATTACCGATGGAAGACAATGTAAAGAGGCTTTCGTGAAAACGTTGCCTTTCTCTTCCATAAAATCAGCCGAATGTCGGGATTTCGTTAAAATTTTTTCAAAAAAAATGGGCGTTGTCCTCTCGAACGATCTGTAAAAAATAGGAAGAAATTAGTACACCTGGTACATGATTTGCTCTGAAAACCTTCTGTAATAAAGTGTGGCTGGTATTTCTTTTTAGCCCCTGTTGCGGTTAAATCTCTTAACTGAATTCAGTTTCAGGATTTATACAAAAAGTCAAGACAATGGTCTCCAAAGCTAAAGATCAACAGCATTGTAACATTGTCAATCTACCCTTTTAATAACAACATCACGCGGCAGAATCAAACATGAATATCGACAAAACTGTAAGAGAGGGAACGAAAAATATATTTCACGTTTGTTTTCATTAATAGTGTTACATTGCTTCTCAACTGTCCATTGAGAGAAAGACCGATTTATGCGGTAGAAATGTATGTGATTAAATTGTGTCAGTTTTTTCATTTTTGACTTGCATATTTAAGTTGAAGAATACCGAGAACTACTCATAGTGTTTGGATGCTTCTGGAAACTCATACTGACATGAACGGATTTACGCCATTCCGAGTTGCTCACAGCCCTACAGGGAAATGTTTCATTAAATAACCTCTGTGTTGAGTCTCACGTGCAAAACAAAATATATAACCTCATGTCCTCATCCAAGGTAAAGTTGACGGTCATTACAAACGTTGTCAGTGGTAACTCGTTGCCACCACCCTTTGTTTGCTTTCCACCCCCTTGGAAAGTAGAAACGAGCACTTTCTTCAGAGTGTTTGGATGGGCCGGGTCATCCCAATACACCGGAAATGAGCTCTTCACAAGCTCGGACATCACAGATTCTCCCGATGACTGGGATATCAGGGTACCCCCAAGAAGTTTTCTGACAAGCATCAGTGACGTGGACTTTCCGCTTGCCGTCTCTCCGACTGCCATTGGAGCTGGACATGAACCTATGATGAATAAATAGGAAATGTTACTTTCATACTTACCAGATAATTAAATTTTCTATGCGGAGTTATGATCGATAGATTAATTGACGCTAAGGAAACCAGTTTTTTTGCATTTGTTTTGATATCCCAAATCAGCCGACATGGTGAAATTTGAAAAACGATCCATTTACACACAAACACAAGACGCACCCCACTCAAGCGTTATCATTGTTTTATGAAATGATAGTTTTCGGCGCCTCATTGGCTCTGAGTGCTCCTCAAGATAGTAAAAGCAACTCAGGAAGCAATTGTCCAATAATAGACATTTTCCACCATAGATGAGATTAATTGTTCTCAAATTTTAACATCAAATACTGAAAGGGTTCTTTTCGTTCTTTTTGAAAACATCAGCGAAGCGCGAGAACGAGCGCGGTTCTTTCCCACTCCTCTCTCTTGCATAGGCGGTCAATAAATCCCCCGCTGTTTATATGTTTTTATCACGCGCGCTCGACGGACTTACAAGGGAAATAGACCCAGTTTGAACAGGCTACTGAAAGCGTTGTTCCTTTTAATATTTTAGCTTTTCAAAGTTGAACTATTGTACTCACCAACTACGGAGAGTACTGTTTGGTAATGAAACGCTGACATTCCCCCGGCCAATAGCAGAATGAATTGGAGGAAATTCCTCCCCATAAACGTTTTAACTTCCCTGATAAAGTCCAACCAATCAAAGGGCACGAGCGGCAGGTCAATGGTAACAGGAAGGGCATTGAGGTACTGTTTCAACCTCGACCTTTCGCTAATGGACACAGGTACTCCTTGGAGGTATGGCACCATCCACGTTATGCGCTGTTCGTTTTCAGGGACAACAAATCCACGTCTGTCTAACTAAAAGTTTTAAAGAGAAACAGAAAACAGAAATTCTTAATATACCATTCGGATTTCTCGCAGGTTTTAATTGACCGGATTTACCACAGACTAAATAAAAAGAAACAAAGTTAATCTTCCGGACTGCAGTACACAGCATTCTTCCGACTTGTCACGCGCTGGTTTAAAACAGGGTTCGATATATTGCGTTACCCTCTAAAAAAATGGAAATGATCTAAGGTTTAGGGGCTTAATGTTGTACGGGTAAAACACCTACAAAACGCTAACGGAGTCGACCAGAAAGCCCTTAACAAATAATGGGACTCAGTTCGAGTCAACATATTTGCAAGACATTTCAGTCTAGCGAACTGTCGTCGACATCAAGTAGTTCTTATTTAAAAACCCTCTCAAATTATGAAATTCAGCGGAAATGCTAGCTGCGCAAATCACGACTTATCTGTCATCGTACCTGTATGCTCTCCGAGAAGATGTACACCTCTTCACCTTCCTGGCCGTTTCTACCAAGAGCGAGCGCTGCAGTTTTCCTATTTTGACTTTCCAGTGGCTGGCTCAGGTACTCCTCCAGCACTTTCAACCAGTATTCATTGAGTTGGCTATCTTTCAGCCCTTGCCAAAACACTCCGCCCTGGGCAGAAAATGTACGGTTGATTGCATTTCTAAGCGTCTTAGTCTGACCCATTTCTTCACAAGTCACAAAGCACCGCCTGCATGTATTGAAGAAAAAGGACACAAACAATAAATTTCCTTACGCATAGGTAACAAAAAAAAAAACACCATAAATTTTCAAAAATTAGGTTTCCTTATTTGTCGTCTAGTAATTTTTCGACCGCACACTGCAGGTCTTTACCAGGTGATGAAGACCTGCAGTGTGTGGTCGAAACGTCACGATAAAATATCAAAGTGACAATCGTAACACAAATGATAAAACTAAACCCTTTAAACAACAAATTATATAAATGGCGCTGCAAATTTTGTTAGTAGATCTGCGGTGCCAATCCACAAATTTAATCTCCTAAAAAGTACAACGAGAACCTCCGTCACTTTTATAGGGGAGTACCCGTCCCTGGGTTTTTCGTCGCGGCAAGCACACTTGATAATTGCACACGCGAGAAAAGGTGTCTGATTCGTCTTTTCTGCATGGGTGGCTAAATCAAGAAGGAACCTAAATTCAAAAATGTTATATTCCACTTACATGCTAACTCCATCGGAGCTCCTGATAACGTCCAAAAGATAACCATTTACTCTTTGAAACTCCGGCGGAAATTCGATTAAACCATAGATCTTGAAATAAAAATTTGCGATTGATTTGTAAGTTTTATCGCTGCACTTTACATGGAGGGTGCGTTTTCCATCTGCTCCTTCCCGGACGGATAAAGACTTCAGTGGTGAGCTCTTCGGCATCTTGCGACCGTTTGCTGTGAGTGGATAGTGAAACTGGCCCAAAGTGGCAGAGCGCACTCAGTTTTCTGTGTTGCCCCTTCTTGAGGCAGTACTTTTCCATTAAAAAACATGTGCAGTAAATTTCCTAGGCCCCAATACTAGAATGTACCGTAATTAAATTATTGTTACACTATTACACGCTTGTTTTCCTTATAAAGTTTAATGAAACGCGTGCAGTTACATCAGTTCATGCAGTAAATTCACTAAGGACAACGTCTTGTTTAGTCAGTACTTTTCCATACTCTCCCCGGGAGCGGACGCTTGTTCTCCTTATTAAGTTCCGGGGGGGTACTCCTGGGAATTCTTGATGGGGGTGTGCCGCCCGGTTGTCCAAATCCTAACCCTATTTCAGGTCAAACAGTATTATTTTCTATAACCTTTTTTCAACTGACCCGTTTGATGACCTGGCCTTAAAGCAAAAATTATATGTGTCCTTACTTAGATTAGAGTGCAAACAATAAACTTGTTCAAATCCATTTCGAATTCGCATATTTCTCTTTCTTTCTTACTCACTTGTAATAGAAAAGATAAATTTTTTCATACACTCCCTTAGTTCCCCGAAAACCATACCCGAATCCACACCAAAATGGGCAAAGTACAAGCCCGTTTTCAGACCGAAAAGGACCAAAAAACATACCCTTTAATATAAGGGAGTACCCCCCCGGACTTTTGCGACAAGTAAACGGGTGTAGTTTCATCACTTTATGCAGTAAATTCACAAAGGACAACCTTTTGTTTAGCAGTAATTTTCCATAAAGCTCGCAAGCTCGCATTAAATTGTAATGTCCCTATGTAGTTATGTAATTTTAGCAACTTGCATTAATCAGCTTGGTAAATACGTAGAGATTTAGCAAGCCACTTTGGTAATCTTTCTTTTTGATCATGGATAAAAGAAATAGAAAAAGGAAAACGCCCAATATGTTTTCATTGGAATCACTAGAAGAGCGTTTCTCAGCCAAGAAGTCCATCATCCAGGAACTGAACACCCACGTTTCATTCCTTCGAAACTTTGACCTCGCCAGCAGTAACCAATTCGGAGAAGAAGAAGCATTAATGATTTTGGCATCCAAGTTCACATTTAGAGGAGTTTATTTGCTGAAAGCGGTAATAAAACACGTGCCCAAAACCTACTCAATGAAATTGTCCGAGTTTGGTGGTGTTTCACTGCGCACTCAACTTATTTACGAGATAACATCTGCCAGTGACACTCCAGTCGCGTCGTTAAATCGAGACGAACTAGAGTTCACCGTTAATTTTATGGAATGTAATTGTGTGCAATTTTTAAGTATTGGGGAACCATTGGAACAAAATAAGCTTTGGGAGATAAGCGAAAGAAGCGAGTATCCTTTAACGAAATTTTTGGCACCTCCAGTGAGCACTTGCTTGAGCTGTGAGGGAAATCTCACCATGCACAACCGGCCGACTAGAGCAAGACTCTTTTCCCTGGAAGGCCCGGTGCCAGCCTCCAAAATTACTCTCGAGTGCAGGAACTGCAAGATTTCCTATGGAATTGCTCGATACACTCATGATGGCAAATCGCATTATTACCCCAAAACATTCACCGGAGGTATTATCGAGGTGTCAAATACAACATACATGAGTGAAAGGCTTTACAAGTGGATACCCTCCCTAAGGTAGGCCTCCCTTTCTAGCACATTTATTTATTTCAAACATTTTTAGATAAATAAATAGCATTACATAATTATTTGACTTTTTTGTTGTAGCAATTACTCATGGGTCTCCTTTAGCGGATTTTCGGAATCCTTTAATGAAGTTTATGAAGAGCAAATAGACAAATACCACAAGAGTTTTAAAGGTGAGTAGATTATTTGAGCTAATTGGTGACCATTACGTCCTTGTCTCATTTTTCCTGTCCGCTATATAACAATGTACAAGCGATAAATCGAATGTAAAAACAATAAAAAAACTTCCGATATTGTTCGCTGTTGACAGAGAGGTGCCCCTTTCGTATACCGACTAGACGCCTTCTATTGGCAAATGGTGCGCCTTTCACATACCCATAAATAAAAGAACTGCATCCTTTTAACTGCTGTAAATGCACTATCTTCACTGAGCGGAAAATATTAGTCCAAAAAGAAAAGGCGATTAAAAAATCCCTCGCTTCGTGCTCAGTTACCAAAGTCTGCCAACGAATACTTCTTAGGAATCCGTGCCAAAGGACAGTTCATCGGTTTCCAATAAGCCGAGAATTAACATACATCATAGGGAGAAATCCCGACGTATCTAGGAAGATCGAAGCGACTCTGCTAGCAGGGTACGGGAGAGGATGATATAGACAGCAAAACAGTCCGTATTTTGGCCGCAAAGTGCCCGCAAGCAGTCAAACAAAAGGTTTGAAACGAGGACCGGGGAGAGTTTTCCTCTCGCCATTAATCTGCGATCCGGCGCTCTTCCCTTCTGTTTTCTCCTTTCCCCTAAAAAGAGAAATAACGACTGATATACGCCCTACACGCCCTAGGGAATGAGGCTGAGCAAGATGTAAAGATTTATGCGGATCGCTATCCTTCATCCTTCTTACCTCCTGGTAAACTTTCTTGTAAACTTTGGCCTATTGTTTGGCACAGAAAAATGCTCGGGTCGCTTAAAACTTGTCGATCGGAACGTTTGCAGGAATTAATGCCTGTTAAATTTACTTCCCTTTGAGCAGCGTCGGACAGCGTAGTTGATAATGAAGATGCGAGTGAAACAGTCCAAGGTTGTTTATCTACAGGTTAGTATGTCTGTTAACACGACAGTGGGCCTATTTCTTCAAAGGGTCTTGCCTTATATTCTTATCTGTCTATAAGCAGGGTGTCCCTCTAGTTTCACGCATTGTAACTTTTGATCAAAACTATTTTTGGATTAAATTGCTAGAAGATGTTTATTGCTTTATCGACTACTTATATTTGAGAAATTCAGTAACCGGCATGCAATCTTTGTTTGTTTGTTTGTTTTAATCACATTCCGTTAAGCCCTCTAACGCCGGTAGAGGCCCAGATGATACATTTTGACCTTTTCCTATCACCTCAGTAATACGTAGGAGCCGTTTCGACCCCCAAACATTAAAAATTTTGGGCACTCATCCCGAATAAAAAAACCTTTGCACAATAAGGATTTTGTACTTCTTTACAAAATTGAGACGAACTGAACCTTAACGTTGCTTTTCGAACTGAGCAAAGCAGTCTCAGGGGCCTCCAACTTTCGTTTTTCATTAACTTACTCCAGATTTAGCTAAGAGCTACCTCCTCGAGTTGCTCTTTTGTACCTAACCTTCTTTATAATTATTTTGGCATCTTTATTCAGGACTTGCAGTCTCCCCCTTTGTTTCATTTATTCCAAATTTTCAATTCTCGGAATATTTTACCACCCCATTTCGGATTTTTGCTCTTTTTTTAGGTCAAGAGTTTTCTTTAAAAGATTTGCTTATCAAGTCTAATCGTCCTGCAATACAGAGTTATAAAGGAGAGGAGCGAACTTTTGGAGCACCCAGTGTAGTGGAATCTAGATTTAATGTGTTCGCTACATCGAGGTTACGTTTTCATATATCCTACCAAGACTTTGAGATAAGGGTGGGGGGGGGGGGGGGGTTGGGGTTCCCCAAAAATTTTTGGCCCTCGGTTTGGCAAAAAAAAAAGGGGGGGGGGGGGCAACCCATGGGGCCCCCCCCCGGATCCCACACCCTGCGGTTGTTTAAATATTGCCTGTGTGCAGACCCGTGCGTGGGGGGGGGGGCAAGCCATTGGGCCCCTCCCCTGGATCCACAACTGCTCGTTGTATTAAGATTCCCCTGTTGCAAGACCTTGTGCGGTTTTTGTTAAGCTTTACAATAAGAGAATGAGAAACAATGAGTCTTGAAACGGTTAAAAATCAATTACTTTTAGACAACCAAGCAGCTTCTGGAATTGTTGGCGAGCTGTCAGCCAAAACCGCCGCAAAAAGTTATTGGAAGAAAGAACTAGAACAGGAGCTGGATGACCTGGGTATACGCGAAAAATGGTCATTTTCAAAGGTCAAAGGCTTGGAGAGACTAGAGGGGAGTGAGGAGGATGCAATGGATTTCATTGAAACCAAACGCTCAAATGAGCTGTACAACCACAACTGCTCTAAACGTTGTCAAGATAAAGGTTTGTCGTACATTAAAAATAGCTGAGAAAGAAAAAGCTCGAAAATTACGCCCGAATAAAGGCTATGCTGGCACTATTCGGATCAAGACCAATTGTGGTCCCATTATGGCTCTTGACCGCATATAATTTACTGCCATGAACTCTCCACTTTTTTCAACATTGGCGTGGCGCAATCTCGCTCTTTCACAAGTCGCGCCGAAATCACCGTTCTTATGTTTGAACAGAATCCATATTCGGTACTGCTTTGCGCTGGCGCAAAAGCTATCCTACTTAGCACCCGCCTTCGAATGAAAGCACTATTCCGGTAAAGCCCGTCCCTCACGTCTAAGAATATCAAATAATCGCCCCTAACCCACCTTTAAGAAAGAAATAATCACTGCATCCACGGTATAGAAGTAGCCTGAGACCCAGGTCCATGTAGGTATACAGTGGAGAGTAAATTAGTAAAGGGTTTAGTTGATGCATTGTAACCACCCACGACAGATCTACTGTCTGTTACGCTCGAGGATCGGTGCCGTTACTCCATAATCTCCCTACAGCTAACTTGACTCAGAGTTTTCAAAATTAAATCGTTAGAATAAATTTCATATCGTCCCAAAATAACTCTTTAACTTGCCAAGACCATGCTATAACCATTCTATTAGAGGGTTATTGAAACAGCAAGTATGTCATTTCTGTAGGTTGCGGACAGCTTTATGTTGCTGATGGCAACTGGAAACTTCGCTACGCGCACTGTATGTGGAAGGTTCCTGTGACAGTACCAGGTTTTGGCGAGGTTAACTACCCTAATATATGCCCTTTGTCTCCCCTACGTGGACAGGCATTTTGTCGCAAACA